GATTATAAATAAAACTATATTGAGATTTTAAGTTCTATATTTCAAAGCTGAGTACAGACTGCTCATATGTTAACATTTACAACAAACTAATAACTTACTAAATAAATTATTTGTATTTTAACCAAAATATAAGCAACTACTTAATATATTTTTTTTCCTGGAAGGCTAAGTCAAAATTCATTGATACACTTTTTTCTTGGTGGGTTGAAAAAATCACTGAACTGCAGAGTTTCAGTACAGACTCTGCCAGTAAATAACTATCTTGAGACCTTGAAGAAGGCACTTTAACCTCTATAAAATGAAGAGGCAAAAACAGGTGGTTTAAAAGTCTTTATCCAACTACATATTTATAGAAATTTTAATGTTTTAGCTAGAAAGTACTTACATGGTCTGAAACACCTAAAATTTTAGATGTCAGAAATTTCAAAATGATTGTTCCACAAAACCAAGCACAACCTTGAATTACCTAGAATACAAACAAAATAGATAGAAGGCTGAGGAACAAAAGGCCCTGCATCCTGGTAATCAACAAACCTTCAATTAACAAGTCTTAAGTGAGAGGGAAACACAAACTTAAAAATTTTTTTAAAATATGATAATGAAAACTACACATTAGAAGCTAAGGGAGACATATAAAACAATGATCAGAACAAAACTCATAACACCAAAAACTTTTATCAATAAAAATAAGAGTAGAGATAAATTAACACTTTGACTCAAATATCTAGATAAAGAATAACAAAATAAACCAAAGGAAACACATGAAAGGAAACACTCAGGAGAATATTCTTCTATTGTATTTACACCTATCTGTATCCATCTTGTTGTCTTTGCATTCCTGGGATGAACCCAATTTGGTAAGAATGGACTATCACTTACATATACCTATATGGCTGTTCTTGAGTTGTTAACCTTTTCTTTTGCATTTTTATCCATAGAGTGTTTTCAGTCTAGGTGGAATTTAAAATCCATGTTCATGAGTAAGAATAAGCTTAACATACTGTCCTTGCCTGACCTTAGTACTGAGATTTAGATTATCAGTGAGGTTTCATTTCCCTTCTTGTAAGGGTTCTCATTCCTTATGATACACACTGAGTTCCTCTTGGTGTTTTTGAGTAAATTTCATAAACCCAGTTTAATATTTACCTCGTAATCAGAAATTGGGATCTCCTATTAAGCACTGAATTTCTTCCTACTGAGGAAAACTGTCAAGTGAATCACTTAGGGTCTAAAAGTACTTGCTTAGGCTTAATGTTGTAAATATTTACCTTTGCTAAAGATACATAAAAGCTAAAAATAGAGAATACTTAATACCTAGGAAGGTGAAAAAAAAGAATCTTTCTTGTAACTTACCACATGATAGCAAGGAATATGAAAATTAGATTATGATCAATCCTAAGTGACCATTTTTTCTATATACTGTTTCAATGCCATTCGATGCAAAAACCTAAGAACCTCCTCATCTTCAAGTTTTCCAATTATGACAGAGCAAGATATGCAATACAATCTTTATTCCACAAGCATGTAAGAATTACTTGGAGTAACAAAACAGGTGTCTTTGTAAGAAAAAGTATTAGTTCACAAAATATCTTTGCTTTTTCTTTTGACTGTCTTCTCAAAAAAAGCCATAAGGGGCCAGAATATCTTTTGTGTTGTTTAGATGACTACCATGATTCACTTTTTCCGTTTGCAAGATATTGACAGAATTAATTATATCAGTTTCAAAATACAAATATAAGCTGAACATTCATTATATTTTAACTTTCTCTCTTAGATTTGTTTCTTTGAAATTCTTATGTTGAAAACTTAATTTTTTTCAGTCTAAAATTGAAAATATTCAAGACAATAAATTTTCCTCTGAGTACAACTTTGGCAGAATCTCCTAAATGTCCACAGACACTGTTCTATTCACTGTCATTTTTCAATGATTTGTAATTAAGATTTTGACTTTCTTTTGAGTTTAATTATTAAACAAAAATCTTTAAATTTTGTTGATTTCTTGGTTTACTCTTAAAAAAATAATCACTGTCGATTTTTCTGAAGTAAAAAAAAAATCATATATTAGAAGGATCATGTCAACAACTTAAGTGTATTTTCACCATCGGGGATGAAGAAGTGCTTCCAGCAATGAGAAACTGGCAATTAATTCCGTTTTGTTCTTTTGTATTCTAAGTGGAAATCTACCTTATTATCATACCATAACTTTTCCAGTTTTACCCTATCAATATATGACATGTAATTACACAGTTCTACAACACAGCAGATTTTATTTTTTAATAGGGATACATTAAAGACCCAGAGAAAAAGAATGAATGTCTTCTGCCTGATATTACAAGAATTAGTAGTTGCAGTGCCTACCTACTAATGTATCTATTTTACTTTATAACATAACACATAAACATAGAGGTAACATGGGCCATCCATTTGTCTATTTGAGAAGAAGTCAAACAAAGATCAGGTAGTGGCTGAGCTGAAATAAGAAGGGACTGGGAGATTGTAGGGAAAACATTAAAAGGCTAAAAATAATAGAGGCTAAAGTTGGAAGCTGAAGGAAAGAGACATGATGGGTAAATATAGAAAAAAGAAAAAGGGAAAGTGGGGACAGAACTACAGACTGAGTTATTTTGAAGAGAAGGTTAGTAAATCTAAAGAGAGAAACTCAAAGTAAATAGAAATAAATTTAAGAAGCAAGGTAGTAGGTGTAAAGCAGAATGAAAGGTAAAGGAAGAAAGGACTGAAGGTAGCACTGAAATAAACTAACCTCTTGAAAATGACTTGTAGATGTCGATAAGGACTATTTCCCACCTTAACTAAGTAGCTATTTGTAAGATTTATTCACTATAAATCATTCAATTTTTAAAGTATGTCATCTGTATTCAGTTTATAGAAAGAAAAAAAATTGAAGAAACTGTGTTAAAAATGTTGAACCTTACCCAAAAGTGGAGTTCAGATACTCCCAATCTTTGAAGTTTATTTCTCTTTAGAATTATCACCTAAAATGCATGATATAAAATAAAACAATTAAATAAAATTAACATTTATAGTTCATATGAATGATAAATTTCAAAAATTACACGGCCACCCCCTTCCATCTTGGCTATTACCAGCCATTTTCCTTCTTAATTGTTGATTTTTCCAAATTTGGACATGGAAAATTTCCTTGGAGTGAGAGCCAAATGCTTTGTAAACCAAAAAGTTGACTCTAGAATCAACTTAATTCCTCACTGAGTTACTTAGGACATTTTCTGCAGAGCAACACTCTGAGGAGGTAGATGGTATGTGGGAGGCACGTCCATACAAATGTATACGTCAGTTACCTAGCAAAATAAGTGGTCTAAAGTAACACGAAAACCCTTCCTCTCCAAACTCTCAAATATTTTAAAATGTTAAAGAAAATGCCTAATTGAATTTATAAGAAAGAAAAGGAATCTTCCAGGTGTCAGAGAAAAAAAGGTCATTTTAAAAACTAAAACATTAATTAGGAGAGAACCTATGGCAGTCTTTGAGGCGGTCTGTAGAAGGGGGCTACAAATATGGGCTTGTATTAAAAGGGAGGGCAGCAGAAGAGAACTTGGGACTATGAAAGAAAGGTAAGAAATTAGAATTAAGACTCATGCATACAGCTGGGGTTCCCCAAAACCATACCCTTAGTGCTATCACCTGAATGTTTATGTCCTTCCATTATATCCATATGTTGAAATCTTGATTCTCAATGTGACATATTTAGAGGTGGAACTTCCGTGAGGTAATTAGATCATGAGGGTGGAGCCCTCATAAATGGGATTAAGGGCCCTTCTGAGAAGAGACATGAGAGAGATGATGCCTCTCACCAACGTGTGAAAATACAATGAAGATATCTGTCTACAAAGCAAGAAGAGAGCCCTCACCAAGAACTAAGTCAGTTGGCACCTTGATGTTGGACTTGCCGGCGTCTAGGACTGTAAGAAATAGACGTCTGTTAAGCCATCCAGTCTAGTATTTTTGTTAGAGCAGCCCAAATTGACAAAGGCATGCAGGGAATGGAAATACTCCTACTGTTTTACAAGTTGATAAGGCATTTGTTTATTCCCAAGTTTGTGTTGGGAAAAAAAAAAGCTTCCAATGAGAAACTGAAATCTTAGGCCTGTGTATTTTTTAGATTTGGAGGAGAACTTTGCATCATCTAATTAGTCCTACGTGAGCCAGGATTCCTGAACTTTCAACAACAGGAAAATATAAATGCACCAGATTACACACTGCAAAACTGTTTGTAAACACGAAATACAAGAAGCAACCCAAATGTCCAGACATAGAACAGTGGTTAAATTATCTATAGAGCATGCAGAAGAGAATATATACTATGAAATTATAGGAAAGAATAAAGATCTCCATGAACAGATATGGAGTAATATCCAGGATAGGTTGTTAAGTGATACCCAGGATAGACTGATAAATCAAAACACAAAACATAGTGGTATGCTGCCTTCATGTAAGTGAGAGATAATATTTAAAATAGATTTCTATCTAAAATGTCACCATTTTACCATCCCTACTGAATTAATGGATCTGGTATTAAGCACTGATGGCTGCTATCATAAAACCAGAGTCATCAGATAATACGTGCATCCTGATTATAGACTTGCCAAAGGGATTAAATCTGAACCTGTCGAAGTTTTAGACCCAATAATTAATATATTATAAATACAGAATACAAAGGAAGACGTAAAGCTACACCATGAGGACTCCGAGAGAAAAACCAAGACAAAACCCTTCACATGTTCAATGGCCCAGGTTCTTCAACAAATAAATTTTCTGGGGGAAAAACCAAGGAGACATATTGAAAACCTGTAGCTAAAAATAAAAACGTAAATGCTGAAACTATAAAGAAAAGTTTGATGTGATTACCATAGTCAAGACAGACACTACTGTTTTAGAGGAGTGCAAGGGAGTCATAATTGAGGCAGGTTACAGGGAGGGCTTCTAGAATGGTTAGAAAAATTCTAGTTTTGACTTGATGGTAGTTTAAGGATGTTTGCCAAATAGTTCACTTATCAGTAATTATCAGTACTGGTCAGAACTAAGTCAGTATATAAAACATTTGTTTTAAGAAGTTTCCTATATCTGTGTTATATTTTAAAATAAAAAATGTTTTCATAAAAAAAGGTGGATGAGCACACTATTATAAGTCCTCTACTTTGTAACGCTGGAAAAGTTTGACAAAATGTTGAAAAGAAAGAGCCTATGTCTTTTGGGAGAGAGAAAGAAGAATACTTACTATGAAGCAAAAAAAGAGTTGTGGGGGAAAAAAAATTAAAACTTACATCCCAAAAGATTCCACCAATGCACCATACATGGAAAAGTGCTGTATTTTGGTATTTCTGTAGTAAGTGTCATTTCTGATTATTGTGGAAAGAGAACATCCCAGGAACATTCCAAGGGGAAAAACATTCCAGGTTCTGGCTTATGAATACCAGAAATGTGATTATAAGGTAATAAAACTGATTTACTGAACCACCATTCCAAATATAACTTCAAATGAG